AAAAACAATCAGAAGGGAGCTGCTTCCCATTCCTGAGGCTCAATGGACTTCTCAATAAAAATATAATTTTATTAAAAAATAAAATAGATAAGTACAAGTGGGTTTTGTTTATTTATTTATTTATTTATAAACTCCTTTGGACCAAGAAACACCAACCGCATATGCAATTCTGCACTTCCATTTTATTTTTTTTTATCATATGCACAATATATTTATCACCATTTAAAGTGACTAAATCATTTATAAAAAAAAAAAATGCATTATTTTTCCATCTAGAAACTTAAATAACACATCTCTCTAATTATGAGTAGCTTGAAAATTGCTATCTCTCTCTCTCATGATCTCTTGCTACTTTTACAAGTTATTATTATTATTATTATTATTATTATTATTTCTTTGAGGTGCAATTAATTTCTAAATGCTTACAAAGTTATTATAAGAGCTAAATATCACCATTTAGTTTGAAAAGACCAATTTGGTCGTATTTTATCCCATCAATAAGTTTATTATTTTATATAATAACCCTTTGTTAGGTTTTTTTTTTTTTTTTGAAAATTATTTATATTTATAATTTTTACTTAATAGTAATTATTATATTTTTAAAGCATTTTAGAGATAAATAAAGTGATATAAATTTTTCAAATGAACAAGGTTGTTTCTATTTTCTGATGTTAAAAATGTATACCGGTCAAATAATTTTTTTCTTCTTTTCAATAAATTTGCTTATCTTATATTTCTTTGTATCTTGAAAGCACATTAAAAATATTATCTTTAAGATCATCTCTCAAAATTTAGCAAAGGAAAAAAAAAAAAGAAAATAAATATTTGACTAGTAGTTCAGTTTTTGAATTTTGTAATAGAAATAAGAAATTTTAAAAATTTATATAATACATCCTTTGTTTAAATAAATAAAAAATAATAATAAAGCCATAGTTGCTATTATAGATTATTGGTGACGGAAATGGATAAGCATATCTTTTATTATATGAAATTTTCACCACTACTTTTATTATATAAAATTTATAATATTTCTAGAAGAAAAAATAAAAAATGATAAAATAGAGGTCTCCTTTTATGGTGGGTATCATGTCGGCAAGAGGTGTACGAGGTTTACACCTAGGGAGACGTGGATGCTTCATGTCCATTCGTGGAAAGTCCTTAACCACATATTTTAATCTTGTCGTTTTGTCAAACTTTCTATTTTTATATTATTTTGCACTTTTTTTAATCTTTTTTTTTATTGTCTCTCTCTTCAACCGCACCAATTATTGATTAGTTTTTCTTTTCTTTGCTTCTCTTTTTATTGTTTTTTATTTTTCTTTCAATAGAATTATTAGAATTATTATTATTATTATGGATTAGTTTGAAATGATAGAAAGTGCTTTTATTATAATATATATATATATAAATGAATTTTGATATTACGTAAAAGCCCCTGGACCCAGTGGATTGGCACTGTCTCTGGGTTTCCGTTTTTGTATTGATGTCTATTTAGTATATTGATAGATAGATAGATAGATAGGCTAAGGTGTGGTCTACATCAATCTATCAAATTATAGAGAGCAAACGTGTCATTTTGTTTTGTTTAAGGAATTTTAAATTATTTTTGTTTCACCACCTTCTCCCAAAGCAGATTGCAATTTATAAAGCTAAGCTTTGATTATTAGAATTCAAAAAAATGAAATCTATTTCAAAATTCTATTTCCTAAAAAAATTAATGTATAATTTGAAATTTCAATTTAAGAAAAATAACAAGGAATCATCTAAAATCAAATATTTTTTTTGTTCAAAAAAAATAATAAAAAAAAATAAAAAAATAAAAATAAAAGTATCATTTTCATAAAATGGGACAGCATAATGTACAGAGTGAATATATTATTAATTAATTAATGTTATGAACACATGCTTATAAAATTGAGTATACAAAGAAAATCACACAATACACGTTAACATCATAAACCACATAATGGGAAAGTTTACAGTGCCGACTTTGCCCCTAAGAAAAGCAATTCGTCAATTTCATCTATAAAAGGGCAATTAAAATCAACAGATTTCTAATAAAATATCTGATTTTGTTGTTGTTTATAAGATTTCTTTTATTTATTTATTTATTTTGCTTTCCCTTCGGGTAATGGCAGCAAAATTTTTTTACGTTATTTTTCTTTTTTACTTTATTCATATTCTAGAGTCGACTATCCGGTGATTTAAGCAGTTGAATCAATAGAAATAAATTATATTTTTATATAAATTTACTTGGAATGTTAGAGATTTAGAATCAACTGTCTGAGAAAATTTTTATTTGAATGTCACTTCCAAACAGAAAGCTTCTTTATTGTAAACTTTAATAAAATGTGATGTAATACAAGAATGTATTTGCAGTGTAAATATTAATTTCAAACACCAAAAGTTACGGCATGAAAAATCACAAATCAAAAGTCATAATTTGAGATTTTAGATTCAAATCCATTAAAATTACAAAGTGGTTTGCAGTAACCATAAAAAAAAAAAAAAAAAAAAAAAAAAAAAAAAAAAAAAAAAAAAAAAAAAAAAAAAAAAAAAAAAAAAACTCAAATTGGAAACAATAAAATTACATGAATAGATATCATATGATTGACCAATAATGGTGGCCAACGGATACGATGGCACTAAATTAATTTTATAATGTCAAATGGGGAAAATATCTTGATTCAAATACAGCACCTGATCATAAAATTTCGAGGAGATTAAGATGCTAAAAATAAATTAATAAACAAAAGCATCATAATTCGTTGAATTAGAATCAAAACATAATCCAGATTAATCTAATCTAATGATATATTTATATATAACATGATTTGAATGCATCTGCATTTGTAACCTAAATAATGGGTTCAATGACACGTCAGCCAGAGCCAGCTTAGGTTTTGTAATTTTTTTATTATTATAATAATAATATAACCGAATCAGGCTGTTCACTAGCTAGTTGGATGATTCACGTTTCAAACAATACACAAAAACAGCTATACAAACAAACAATTTTTTTTTTTTTAATATAAAGATTAAAGCTTCTTAAGGTGTCCAAAAGGAATCATGTTATATTCAAAACCTAAAGAGAAGAAAAGGAAAGAAACCTTAAAAACAAGCACAATCTTTGGCTTCTTCTCCTCCCAATGCTTTTTCTCTTGTTTTGGAAACCAAAGCCAGAAGTCTGTAGAGTACTTAATACATTCATCACACATAATTTAACAGAAAAAAAAAAAAAAAAAAAAAAAAAAAAAAGGGAAAAAAAAGAAAAGTAAAACACATGGTTTCATGTCCCCTATTTTTTTTTAATCTTAACTTTTATAATTAAATAGTTACTTTCCTTTCAAAGCTTCTTCACAAACATTAAAACTACAGCAACTTGTTTGAATCTTGATGGAGACATGCTAAGGGTATTTCTTGTTGAAGAGTCAAGGACTCCCAAACTTAGGCGAAAAAGACAATAATGCATTGCTAAAAAGGTATTAAGGGAAAATGCAGGTGATTAATTAAAGGGCTCCAAGCCGCTAAAAAAAAAAAAAAAAAAAAGAAAAAAGAAAAGTAAACACATGGTTCATGTCCCTATTTTTTTTTAATCTACTTTTATAATTAAATAGTTACTTTCCTTGGTTCTTACAAACATTAAACTACAGCAACTTGTTTGAATCTTGATGGAGTACATGCTAAGGTATTCTTGTTGAAGATCAAGACTCCAACTAGGGAAAAAGACAATAATGCCATTGCTAAGGTATTAAGGGAAATGCAGGTGATTAATTAAAGGGCTCCAAGGCCTCTAAGTATGGATCTTATGCTGATCTTTGTGGGGCTAAGTTAAATAGACTGACTGACAAAGATGGCATTTTTTTTTTCTTAATACTGACATGTCTAACATATCAAATGTAATTCTTCCGCAAATGTCCAAAGCAAATAATGGGATCTTACATTCAAATCTAGTAAGGAAACACCCATCAGCTTTCTTTACCTCGGAGATCCCTCGTGTTCCAAGCTCTGGCTAGAAAAGAAACAATAGAGTAGTAGTTATCAACAAACCAAAAGAAAAGATACAAGCAAGTTGCATTAGGAAAGGGGCGGCCACACCCAAGTATACAAAGGTATCTACTTTTTTACAAGTAGACAGAGATATTTCGACCAAGAGGGTAAAGACTGCAGAGGGAGTAAAGGGAAGAAAAAGAAATAGAAAGCGCCATATCAGAGGCCAAAAAAACAAAATCTAGTTGAGGGCCATAATTTGATTCCAACACAAAACATAGTACAATCAGTCATTTCCAAAGTCTAAACTATCTAGAGCTTTTACATTTAGCATCCATCTAAACGCTTTTACTTGAGATCGCTATTCTATTACCCTTAACAACTTTAATCATAAGCAGTAAAAGGGCAAAAAGGAAACAAGAATTTCCACATCATTATTGCCTAGATTAACAAGAATCCTAGCTTATAACAATGCATTGAGCTTTAATTTCTAACATTCCAAGAACACACAAAGTTTTCATTATATCTTTTCCTCTTGTAACTGAATGAGGATTGGCGGATCCTGATCTCACCTTCAAGCACAGAATAAATAAAATCTTAGATACACAAGAAAATGTTCTCTCTGGTATAATCATCATTGACAAACTTGCATAGTCTAGAAGAAAAAGAAAGAGAAAGAGAAAGAGACATGGACAGTTTTAGCACTTCTATAATCAAAAGTAGCTGCATCCAATTGCATTTCAGTTTACATGATGTCCCATACCAGAACTTTTTACAAGTGCCCAGACAAGCAACTTTTGCACCAAACGTGATAAGTGTGTTCTCCAACATTTGCAGCCTAGTCAATGCTTCATTCTTTTTTGTATGCTTTGCTATAATTGGTCTTAAGATAAGACACAACACAACCATTTTATTGGTAGTCCTTCATTAAAACAAAACATAGGAAGTGTCTATCAATGATTCACCATCACAAATGCATTGAATCAGCACATAGAATTAAATATCACTCATGGCCAAAGCAATTGCGTATTGCATTTCCTTTGCTTGTCACAAAATCAAGTGGACAAAGCAATTTCTTCACTTCCAGCTTTTGTACAGTTTAAAATTATAACATGACACAAACTTGGTGCAATACATTGCCATAAAAATTGATTCAAGGTTTAAAGTCAACATCCTGTCCCATAATTTTCAGTTCCAACATTTTACTTGTGGATCTATGTTACGCTATCTCATTTAATTCCCATGAATGGCAGTTCATATACAATTTTAGACAAGATATACAATGGTAAATCTTGTCGGGATTCAACTAAATCAGAAAGCAAAATTCCTAATGCCGAATCTGAAACCTTCTCAACCATGCATAGCAAGCCAACATGTATTTTATCATCACCCGGATATTCCAATCTTTTTAGATTTTCTAAGATCTATGGACCCAAAACAATTAATGAGCTCATCTCTTGAAAAACTTATCCTTGCCTGCTTCATTTTCAAGTGCGCTGCATTCATCTCAAAGCTAGAATTCTGCAATGGAAAAAGGGGGAAGGAGATAGGATAAAGAGAATTATTGCACATAAGCTTGGTCAAAGCGACACATATAACAAGCAAAATAAACGATGTTCATCATCAGCAAACCCCATTAAGATGAAAGACCATCACCTACTGCGAACTCCAGCCAAGCAGAAGTTGGGAGGAGTGGTCTGGATACATTATAAATTTACATTAATGGTTACTCGCAAGATTCGAGTCTTTGGCATTGGCTTTGATTTTCATATCTTTACTATTGAATCAGACAAAGGCCCTATACATAAAAGATATTTTATACGTCTGCTACTCTGATCATTTCAGTGAAGACAGAAGACAGCTTTTGCTAGGCCAGAGTGACAACAGGGTTTCCACAACTGCCCCCAAACTGTCGGAGCTTGACACATTAAAAAATTTAATTTTTTTTATTGTGCAGACAGGCACAGACAATGAGTTTGATTCTGATTTCAACCGTGTCTTCTTCACACTTACGATTGCCCAAACATATATGATATTTAACACTATTATGTACAAGGTCTAAGAACATCAAGCTAAAAATGTATCACAGCAGATTCCTGCCCATATAAAAAAAAGTTGCTAATCTGCAGGATAAAATGGCCATTGATTTCCAAAGGGAAAATGTTCTTGTAATCAAAATCCCAGTTCCCTTATCAATCAACATTGAGAGGCCAGTACTGAATGTGCTAAATTTGAACCTGAATTTGACAATAACAATTGAGCAAGAGAGAAAGTAAAATAAAAAAAAGGAACAAAAGTCACCTCAATTCTCTTAGATCACTGCATCCTGTCCCCATCAAAATTAATAATGTAATTATGGCCTGCATTTTTGTCCATCAATTATTAGATACTTACATCTATTCACATAAATCTGAAACAAAAGATCCAAGAAAGAAAAAAGAGGCTAGAATTCCAAAGACTTCATGGAAATAAAGGTTAACTATCATAGGTACTATGTTTACAGATTGCTGCAACAATCAGGGTGCATATTGCTAGAACCACCATCATTTCTTCAAGTTAACAGATAAACATCTACCAACTGATGGTTGGCAAGTATCTTTTTCAGCCCACTAGGTGATGTAGATTTAATCTAAATGATTGGTTGCCTTGAGTATTTGCTTAGAGTAGTTTCAAAATTTGATTCCAAATGAGGCCTAGTGACAAACCTTGGCAGTGAATAGTGTTTATCTCTTGCCCTCTAAGTTCTATACCATCATCATCCAGCAATGCAATCCCTGATGATGTTAAGATAAAGGGGAAAGCCATGGGTGGTGACATGGGAGATTTTGCCACCTTAATGTACCTCTGCCCTGAAACAAAAGTATCATCTGAACTTCATATCCAGCAATAACAAGGCAATTATCAGCAAAAATTCAAATGTTAATAACATAGACCATCGCAAAACATCGTTGCAAATTAGGATCCATTTAAATAATAAAGCACAAGGGTTTTGGAAGACAACTGGCTGATTAAATCAAAATGGAGAAGAAGACATTCAAGGGTTCCCCACCAACCCTTCTTTTCTGATAAATGGTGACTTTTGTAGGTGCCTCCTCACACACACCCTCCTCCAACTCCCCTGGGGTTCCCCAAAAGAAAGATTAGTCCAATTTCACTCACTTAGAGTTACTAAGTGAGGTTACTTCCTAAGCCAAACACCATTAAAAAAAAGGAAAGAAAGAAAAAAGAAAAAACATAATCACAGTAAAAGCATAGGCATTTTGTCCCAAACACCATTTAGTAGAAATTGTTTCCTTGTATCTCTTGAAAAACAGCAATTTTTCGGCATTGCATCTTAAGCTCAGTAAAAGGTATTGCCAGTGTTATGCAAACCTGATTTAGCTTCAAATACAAGACGAATTGTTACAGCATGAGCCCAGTGAATGCCCAAAGCAGCAATGACATGAGAATCATATTTTTCAGTTCCCTCTTGAATCTCAGCACTTTTATTCACTGCACATGAGAAAAACCATATACTGTTAATGATTTAGGTGGAAGCTTTAACAAATAGAAAATGCCAAGATACCTTGAAAAGAGTACTGGGAAACTTCATCACGGCTTTGAGATCTCACTTGGTTGGTCACAACAACAGGAATTCGTGAAAATTCTGCGAGTGATCTACTCATGTTTCAAAAGAAATCACGACCAGCCCGAGTTAGGAGTGAACTACATAGTGTAAATCTTATTATGAGAAGAAGATTCATACTTAATAAAAGAAATATGCCAGCCAATTGAATGTTGTCTAGGAAGCCCCTGATCATATTCCCTGAACAATATATGGTAGCACTGTTTCAATAATAACACAAGCCAAATAGAAGACAATCTGGGTTAAGGGTTGACCGAACATCAAATACATGTCTAGAAAAGAAAAGCAAATCACATATTTGGTGAAAAGAAAACCAGTTGGGCACTACAGTATCTAAACATCTTTTCTCATTTTTGTATGTAGCGCCTCAGTTGCATGAGGAATATTATGTCACAAACATTGTATCAATTTCATACATAATACATCTTTGCATGCACATGAGAACAATAGGACTCTTAAATCACTTAAACAGATCCCTTACTCTGCATCTGAGTCTTGTTGATCATTCTTCCAAGAAAAAAGCACAAGTCATCATTGATGATGTAAATATCATTTTCTTTAAATTGCTCAAGCAAAATGCTATCTACAATATCAAAAGATAAGAGAATTCATCCACGTGTTTCACCATGTAACATTCAATTTCAAAGGCGATATTATTAGATTCTTGTCAAACCACATCCTTTCAATACTGGGTTGCTGTTCCACAAGTAAAATTCTTAAACCACCAAACCCTGAACGATATTGTACTTGTTGTAAGTGTACACATGCAAACCCTTGCCTAATGATGAGATACAACAAGTTTTTATCACATGTAGACAGGTTGCCATCAATACAGCTAAGTTGAAGCTTACCCTGAAACTAGAGCAGCCATGCTGTCAATTACTAGCAATTTCACTTGTTGTCGAAGGAGCAAAATCTTGATTTGCTGCAAACTGGTAATAAATCAATATTTATAATTGACAGGTCAATTCTAAAACCTTTGAGTGCAAAATATAAATAATATAATGAAAAGAAACATAAAATATATTAAGCTAGAAATGAATGACTTTTCAAGCACAACAAAGAACCATGCAGAATAATACATGCAACACAAATGCGTCTTACTTTCCTCTTTGCACCATCCAAGTACTTAAAAAGAAGAAAAGGAAAGTACATAGATATGTGTAGAATGCAAAGGTAAAATATTTAAAATTTTGATACTCTGATCAGACCCTATCATGATATCAAGCCCCACTGATAAGATATCAATTTCAAATATGCCACACAGGAGAACTACATGCATTGGAAGTGAATGTCAAAACATAGCCATCATAACCAAAGTTCATCAGATTCAGTAATATTTCAAAATCATCTGAATGATTCACAATTTACCCATTTACCCGGTTACCCAGCACTGATAGAGGTCCCTAAGAAGTCATCATATCACATGCACTGTGCATGTTGCAGGTAAAGGCAAACTTACATTATCATTGTACCCTACCTTAAAGTTCCAACAGTTCTTTTCCAAACATTGGCAACTTAATTAAGTTCAAACTTTCAGTGTTTTGATTATTTGTCAGCATTTGTAAGCCTTGACATTCTGTAATATATTTAAAATTATTGAGCTATTGTTATTCATTATGCATGACCAAATTTCAGCTGAATTTTCATTTTGTTGCCTGCAATGATATATTGAAATAAGATCTATTATGCATTGCCAATCTTTCTTTTAGAAAGCGATGCAAAACTTTCTTTGATTCACACCTCTCAGTGAATTCAGGAAGGGATGCTGGACGCAAAACAAGAATCCTCCCGGCCATCTGCAACATAAATGGAATAGCAGTCCTTCTAAACTCCAGTTATAACGCAACAAACTCAAAAGGGGTAACCCTTCAAAACATTGTTCATACCTCCTGTGCCATTTCTTTCCTGTGAAATAGTTCTGGGAAACTTGTTGCTCCAATTTCTATTATCCTATTAAAAGCACATTCCCGATTCAATACAGCTTGCATTTGATGTGAACACAAACATAAGAATAATATTTAAGTGATATCCATAGGTGTGCTTCAAGTACCTTCTTGAACTAAATTTGGATTCTACATCAATATATATTACATGGCCATCTAAACCTCCACAACTCACTGGCAGTGAGGCCAGCAAAGAAATCTTCAGGCAAAACTACAATAAAGCGAAGCACAATTGATATTCATCACCACTAAATTGGATGTTATCCATAAAGGATATAGATACTGATGTCCTATTAAGCTGAAACTACAAGATATTACTCATTAATGAAATGCCATCTTCCCTTTTTAATATTCAGATGGATGTTCTAGAAAACAGATATAGTATCTATAAAAGTCTCAGGCTTGCATCCAAGCAAATACAAATAAGATAATTTGCATGAAAAATATTTATAACGAGTAATAGGAAGAAAGCTTGAAATCCCATTATAATGCAAGAAAACAATGAAGTACCAGTAACAAACTCAAATTAACTTTTGTGATAATGAGTATATACACATGTTCTTGACACATATGATCAAAATTGTAACTCGCAGTTCTGATCAATTAGTGCAAGGAATATGTGCTAATTCACAAATATTTGATTGAAATTTTGGAATATCCCACAATGATAACGCAAAGCAACTTCATCCAAGACTCTGTATTGAAAAGACCCTACACTTTAAAAAGTTCCCTGTGTCTCCATATCAGGATTCAAAGGTTAGAAGAGTTAAAACAAGCAGTACATTATCATAGGTTTCAACAGATACTGGTCCTCATATACTTTTACCTTGCTAGTATTTATAATTGACAAAAAAATTGCAGAATTCTTAAACAAAATTTATAATCATGTTCAATATTAAATAGGTGATAAGATAAAGTTGATCAAACTAAATTTAACTTAAATCAAACAGAATGAATATGCATATCACATACAAAACTCACAAAAACATCCAGAACGAAACTACACTTGTTGAGGCCAAATATTGACCAAACCTAAAAAAGTGAAAGTGAATCTAGGAATAATGAACTTATGTGAAATCCATACTTGGGTTTTACCAATTCCAGCAGGACCCACTAACTCAGTCAAAACACCAAATGGTATTCCACCACACAAAGTATCATCCAATCCATTTAGACGGGTAGGAAGATGACCTGCAAATTGCTCATGTTGTAGCCGTTGCTCCATTAAATATAGTGCCTACGAAAGCAATCAAATCCGCAGCTTACAGCACAAATAAAATTCCAATATATAAAAAATAAGAAATAAAAAAATAAATTCATCAAAAATATCCTCACGGTTTGATATGGAGGTGACACAATTGCACTGATGTGGGCTACTGCAGATTTTACATCTGCCAAAGCCACATCTAACAGCTCCATCAACTCAAATTCGGTTAAAGATAAAGCGTCCTGAAAGAAAAAAAAATAAAACTGGTTTCCAATCTCGAAGAATCGAAACAAAACAGCAATAACATTTTTGAAAAAAAAAAAGAGACCTAATTGTTTGAATTAATAGCAAACAGTTGCTATTAATTACTCCAAATGGAAATTGAATTGAAAAGGGGAAAGAGGAGTGGATTATACCTTAGCAGTTTTGATGTTACGAGCAGCAAATATATTTGCGATTGATTTGGGCAATCCCATTTCGCTTATCAGCTTGTTTGCCATTGCTTTGCTTCTATTGCTACTGTCCTCGCTCTCTCCCTGTCTCTCTTTCTATTTCTCTAGTTCTTCTGTCGCTTGATCTTCCCGCCACTCTGTTTGGCTGAGGTGAAAGAGGGGCAAGGGAAAAGAGAGCTACCTAAGATAGTATATCCATTTGGCAAGGGTAGACTTGAGAAAGTACGAGGGTAAATAGGGATAAGTCTTATTCCCATTTATACCTTAAATCTAAAATTTTGTTTCAATTTAATTTTATAGTGTAAGGGAGTAAGAATAAGTAATTTTGTATTTTTATTCTACATTTAATTATTTATCTTTCTTAATCTTTCTATTAATTCAACTCTTTCCAAATATTAATATAATTTTATTGTAACTCCTCTAATATTTTCTCTTTTGTTATCATGCCTTATCCTTCCATTAATTATCCTTTCCTCACCCCATCCAAACAGAATGTAATGTTCAATTTTTTTTTTTTTTGACCGGATATGATTTCATATACTTACCTGTAAAGCACACGACTTGTCGTTCATTATTTCAATTGTTCACAATTACTTATCAATCTCACGGCAGTTTAGTTCAAATCTTGTCAAAAAAGATTAAACCTGCACTGCACCCAACATACGAGTTTCAGCCCAACCTCAAAGCCATTACTTCAACCAATGCTGGTTGTCCATGAACCAGAAATTGTCCAAAAAGTGCCTTGAGAAATACCCCTTCCTAACATTCGAAAACTGCTCCAAAACTTGACATTCGTTGCTCTTGGAACAAAGCTCCGTCCACAAAACCCAACCATCTCCTCGACTCGATGTCACGATGCCTTGAAGAAGACGCGTCCTGCATAGAATTAACCCGACTTGAACACGCAAAGAAGACGTAACAGCAGGCTCTCCATGCAAATGAGAGAACTAGTCATTATAATTAGAAGGCTGGGTTGATTGACGTATTGTATCAACACCACAATTTCATTCCTGCAAAATGGTAGGTACGGATTGCACAATTTTAATACAATTGAATAGCAAGAAATTTTGGATGATGTTGGAAAATTGAAGAAATTGCACAAGATGATTAAACATAATTTATTTATTTCAATTATAATTTTATATTTGACACATAATCAGTTAAAGTTCAAGTATTAGTAGAAATTATGTGAACAAATTTAATTATTGAGAAGTATTTAATGAATAATGATAATAAAAGTTTTTTAAAGTCATTTATTTCATACAATATCGGATATTTGCTATTGTTCAAACTATATTTACTGAGTTGTAATAAAATGTAATTAAATTATTTTTTTTTTGAAAGGATGTAATTAAAAATATTTATAATATAATATCACATTTTGAAATTGATTACTTTTATATCACGACTTATCAAACAAAATCATGTCTCAAAAACGTAGTCATCTTCTGGGCCTGGGATTCACTTGGGTATTTCTCTGGGCTTTTGACGACATAAATGACCATTTTGTGGGCTTTGCTAGACAAATTTAACAGCTTTTCATTTGAGCCGTCTTGAGGATTGAGCTTAGGGCTTTTAGAGCCCGTTTGATTCAGCGGTTCAATAATAACGGATAGCGATTGCTTATAATAAATGGTTGATGACTGATAACAGTTAGCTAATGAATATTGGTATTTGATAAAATTTTATAGTGTTATTGTATAATATAAAATGACCATTAAGAATATAATTGTTTTTATATATTATAATGATGTGCAATGTATATATTTAAAAAAAAAAATTCAAGGTGAATATACTATTTTTTATTTTAATATATTGTATAAATAAAAATATTAACTAAAATTTTAAAATAATATTTAAAGAAAATTATTATGTTTAAATAATTATAAATAAAATGATCATAAAATATATTAATTAAAAAATTATTATTAATTATTTTTATAATGGTTAATGAAATCTAAATATAATATAAATTTAAATTTAACTACCAGCTAATAAAAAAACTTCGAAAACGTAACTGTTGAGATCAATCCCTAGCTGATTGTGATTTTTATGAGTTATCAGTCGATTAAAAAGCTTATCAAATACCTACAACTTAATTAATGGGTATAGATTAGCTATTAATTGTATGAATCAACTTAACCGATCATCTTCTTAGTAGCTTTTTTAATTTTTTTTTTAGTCCGTACCAAGCGTACAAGGCTGCAATCTTAAAATATTTTAAATTTTTATAAAGTTATGTGTTAGATCATTATAAATTCATTTACGTTATTAATTTATATTTGAGACTTTTATATTAGAAAATAGAAATATTAAATAATTATACCCTTAGTGACTTTTGGAAATGAAGACAAGGTTGACTTGAGTTTATAATTTATAAGTGAAGAAAATATTCCTTTTGACATTTTACAATAATTTCACACTGGAAATCCATATGATGGTAAATAATAATATCCTAGATTTTGACTATCTAGTCTCTCTATTATAATTCCATTGTACTAGTAAATCTCCGAGAAAAATTCTTTCATTTTTTGTATGTTAATGAAATAATAATAATAATAATAATAATAATAATAATGAAAGAAAAAAAAAAAAAGGAAAAAGGCAGCAAGTTGTGTATATCTTGGAAATTACGTGGAAATTGAGTATCTAGCATTAGAATCCACATTTAGGATGGATGTTCAAATTCAATTTAGAAACCAACCTTCTGGATGAAATTAAGAAAAAAGAAAGCCAGAGATTTTAATTTTAAAAATTAATTAACTGCTAAATGAATTTACTCTTTATTTTATCAACTAAAAATTGATTGTTGGAGTCAAAACTATGAAAAAAAAAAAAACTTTTATTTATAAAATTTTGTAATTCTACAAACTAAATTAATTGATTAGCATAGTAATACCAAAACTAAAATATGATATAATTTTCTGCTATAAAAAATAATGATTTGAAGGTACTGAAATTTGACTTTTCAAATGGTTGTGACAAATAATTATTTTTATTTGATTTTAAGAATATCCTTTATTTAAAAAACTCATGAAAAAGATATATTTCATTTTAATGGACGAGTTTACAAAAAGGTATATTTACTTTTTTTTTTTTTTTTAAGAAAAAAAGAAAATTTTTGTAATTCCTACAAAACTTAAATTAATTGATTAGCATAGTAATACCAAAACTAAAAATATGATATTAATTTTCTGCTATAAAAAAAAGTTAATGATGTTAAGGTACTGAAAATTTGACTTTTCAAATGGTTGTGACCAAAATAATTATTTTTATTTGATTTTTAAGAATATCCTTATTTAAAAAAAACTCATGAAAAAAGATATATTTCATTTTTAATGGACGAAGTTTACAAAAAGTATATTACTTTTTTTTTTTTTTTAAGAACGAAAAGATATATATATTATTTTTTAAAACGTTCAAATGTTATTTTTTTTTTTTTTTTAAGAAGAAAAGATATATATATATTTTTTAAAACTGTTCAAATGTTAAATATCTATACAATTTATAAATGTGAGAATAGGGAGCACAAATAATGAGATTTTCGATAGCGTCCTTGATGAAATTTAAATATCTTAAATTAACGTTAGAACATGGCCAATTAAAAAATTATATTTTATTAGTTAATTAAATATAATTAATTAAAATTATTTTTAAATAAATACATATAGATAATTAGGCATTTAAAAAATTATAATATTCTATTTAGGGGAGTAAAAATATTACGGTTTCGGTTACGATTTGGAACCAAACAATAAAGATTCCAATTACGGTTCCTTAATGGTCCTAAAAAGACGGTTTCGACTGATTCTTCGATTGATTTTCTGGCAAATCACATAATTATAAAATAAAAAATTATAGAACATTTTTCATTGAAAATTGAAATTTTAAATATTTAAAAAAATAATTTAAAAAACTTTTTAAGAAAAAAATTAAAAAGAGCTCAGACAATAATTAGACATTAGACTTTAGAGAAATTATTTGCAATAATAATTTGAACAATTATAAATGAGAGAGCTTAGAAAGATTGGAGAGTAAAAATAAATAATTTTGTGTGAAGATAAATGAAAATAATAGGTATTTATAGTAATCCAAAAAATCAACTTTCTACAAATAATTAGCCGTTATATAGCTATTAGGATGATTAAGTTGGGGATTTCACAAGAACTTTTGAAAAAGTAAAAAAAATTATGCTGGAACCACCGGTTCTAACCGGTTTGAAAAATCGTCCGTTCCATTCGATTTCTGCCGATTCTTGCAACCGACGGCTTTCGGTTCCTCAAAATTTGAAACCGAAACCGAACTGCAAGCCTTCAATTCCGATTCTAGTTCGAACGGATTCTGGTTCTCACCAATTTTTAACCAACGGTTCAGGTTCAAAAAACCAGAAAATCGCCATCCCTATCTATTGTAATAATTATAGAAATATAAAAAAAAAATTCATAAAACCATCAATATTTTCCTCATAATTATTGTTTTTTATTTTTATCTTATTTTTGTGAATTTCCAACTCAAGCTGTCCGCTGCTTCCGTAATCTTTATCTGCTAATCCAAGAACTTACAAGGAAACAACTATTTGATAATTTCACATTTGGGACATTAAAATGTCAAATTCATTTTAACTTATAGCCATCCATGTCTAAATCTAACGGCCAACATTAAAACAATCCATTATTACCTGGTGCACTCCATAAAATGAGTGCCGTTTAATCACTTATATTCTGGCTATAAATTCTACACTTTACCAGTTTCGTTTCCTATTACTTCTTCTCCTTCAAAAGCACCCAACGGCCCCTCTCGGGGGCCTCTTTCTTTCTTTATACCCCATAAGCTTTCTTCAAGAACTGCTTTCTTTATTTTGTCACTGAACAGAGCTTCTTCTTCTTCTTTACGCAATAACCAATTCAAATTGTTAGTCCTTTTCCTCTTCTTTTTTTTTTTTTAGCTGTTATTTCTCAATTTATTTTCCTTTCTTGAATATTCTCTGTTTTTGTCTCTTTGTTTTCTCTTCTTTGTACAATACCCAGTTCAAAGTTGTTACTCTATTTTCATTAAATTGAATATAATTTTATCTTCTTTTTTGTTATTATTTCTTGATTTATTATCCTTTCTTGGATCTTTTTTATCTTTTTTTTTCTTGGGATTTAATCTGTTTTTTTTCTAATTTTTCTTTTGCTCTGTAGCAGATAATGTTAATGGTGGTGATGCAAAGTGATCCTTGCTCTCCATTAAAGAGCAAGAACACAACTTTCCCTCCAATCCCAAAGCGAGGCAGAGTCAAAGCTCAGATTTTTGAGAGCTTCGCCAAGGCTGTTGTTGCTGTGGCGTCTAAGGCAGGAGGAACTCTGAAAAGGAACGGCGAGGGAGACGGCGGAGACAGCGGATGTCCTTCCCCTGCAACCCCACCATCAAGCCCTCTTAAATCCTATCCATTTTAATTAAGCCCTTGTTTTGATATATGTGTCCCCTGTGAAACTCATACTTCAGCTAGTTTTAGCAGGGATTATATATATGTGCTTGTGTAGATTTTGTAAGTTGGTGTATTTGTTATTGTGGTTTGGTTTATTTTAGAGGCTTTTTTTCTCTAGATAAGCCATAGTTTCCATATTGTCATTTCTGAAGCTTTAAAGAAGAGATGATAAAATATAGGTTTATGTGTTTGTATTTATGGTTTCTTATTTGTTTGCTTTCTGTAATTTTTAAAATTTAGGTCTTGTATTTTGTTAAATATAATGGCAATGGATTTTATGTTTGCCTTTACACATTCCAATTTCCTTTTTCTTTTTTCTTTGAAATGAAATTGGGGTATGGGAAATTAAAATTTGGAACATGAATTTGAAATTGAGCAACTACTCATCTCCATTAATAACTTGTTAGCATCAATTTCAATATTATTATCATTGAAAAATATAAAAGATAATATTTTTTAATATAATTAAATCTGAGAAATTGATATTAAAATCAAATGGTTTAAATTTAATTATTAATAAAAAATGACGGAATCGAAAAATCTTTATCTTTTTTTTTCAAAATTCATGAAAATGTTCAAATTTCATTACTCAAATTCCATTCTCTCTTAAAAACTAGATTGTAATTTCAGCTAAAATTAAACTAATAATTTTTTTGGAACATATTTTTTTAATTTATTGATGAAAATGATATTATTTGTGGGCTAAATACTTTTAATTTGTGAAATTAACACTTACACATGACTTTTTAGAAAGATATTAACGGGTCTTTATAGTCTGCTCCTACTAATTAATAAGTTTTTCCATCCAAAATTTCAACTCTTTGCTATTAATTTTAGTAAGAAGTCCAAAATAACCTTTATTGTATTTCTATTATACTTCTATATGCTAAAAATATATTTTTTTCAATTATATGAATATTGTTAAAATAATAATTACTCTTCTTGTCAATTTACAAATATAGAGAGCATATTTGCATTTTCATAAAAAATTAATGGCAAATCAAATTGTTGGGCGATTTTAAATTATAAAGATGTATTCATGTATTTTTTTTAAAAAAAAAAAAAAAAAAAGCAAGGACTAAATAGTCTATTTAACCAAATTATAAAAATCAAATAGTAATTCTCCCTTATTTATGGGTAAATGATATAATTTGAATTTGATCAATAACAAAATTTTCTCTTAAAATAAAAAAATAAATACATTTTTAATTAATTTGATTCTGTCTAAAATCTTAATTAATAACATATATAGCTTCTGAAAATGACTTGAAAAACATGTGCATGTATCTTGAATTACCTAAAGAGAAAGCCACCAAGTGTTGGCCATCTAGTGTAGTGCCTAACTGAAAATGACTTTAATTTGTCCTGTTCTGCTATATAGAGTATTGGTATTGGAGTTTAGCCCAGCAAGATAAGGAGACATTTCTGACTTTTTTCAGAAGCACAACTAAGATTTTAGGTGGGTGTCCTACTCCTATGGGCTATGCCCTCATCAACAACATACTTTGAATTAAACTTTCCACTATTGTCATCTTAACTATCATTATTCTTCTAATAATTGATTTGTAGGTCTAACTTTTCTCATGTTCATGGAAACCTATGAGAATTAAGTTTTCTCTTAAGTTGAATTTTACTTATAGATAGGTGAGTTTGTTGGTTCTATATTCAATTTATATTAACTAGTCATTATTAATATTACTTAGCATTCCAATTTCTATTAAGGGTAACACAGTTGAATTTTTAAATTATATCCTAATTAACACTTTTGTCTCTCGATTTTTAAAAAATTATTATAACATTCCTAACTTTTACTATGTCAACTATTATGAGCGTTTTTCATAGAAAGGTGAGTCTGACTAATGGTAAACAAACTATTTTTTAGACAGAAGGACCTGATAGTTAATTTGAAGCAAAAATTAGAGACATTATGATAATTTTTTAAAAATAGAGGGATAAAAGCGTTAATTAAGATATAATTTAAGAATTTTAAGTAGATTCTTTCTTATATTAAATTGCATAAAAATATATTGAAAATAGAATTTTTTTTTTTTTTATGGAATTGAATTGAATAATGTTAGTACAAAAATATATATCATAAATTTTGTTTAATTTGAATATTCGCACACGCGTTCATACACTTAGATTGAAGGCAATATTCAAATAAAGTTTATCTATAAAAAATGAAAATTCAATTGAATTTTTTTTTTTAATTTTAAGAATTTAGATTCATGCTAACAATGGATAAGTGAATAACTTTAAGAGAAATGAATGAATCAGTCATGAAATCAAAGAAAAGTGAAGTGGGAGATAGATTGTGTGACAGAGAAAATTGAAGGTCCAGTCCAGGTATGGTATGATTATATGTCGGAGACTGGTCTGCTCTTTTCTTGCCAAACTTCAAAAACAAACATTACTTTACATAATTGAAAGCTAAGTTTTTCTTTGTTAAATTTCTTGCCACCATCATTTTTTACCCTTTTTGCCCCTCACGAGTGAGACCTTTCAACCGTTCAAGGGAGGAGGCGGCTGTTGACTCCACCACCACTATATAAAGGCCGGTCAAGCACCATAGTTTTATTTTTAATTCTTAAATTTTTTTAAGTATTTTATTTGATAAAAAAAATTGTTTACTAAATAAATGACACTCTGTCCCAAATTGGCCTAACATTGTTAGAGAATTGCAATTATCCAATATCTTTTTTTGTAGAACAGAAAATTAAAAAATTATTTTTTTCTCTTTACGTATCAAAAATAAAACTATTTTAACTTGTTATTACAAACCCAGGTTTCAAATTCAACAAAAAAGAATAAATTAATTTTAAATTATTACTATTTTTTTGTAATTTAATAAACATTTAACACACCACAAACCAACCAATAAGAAAAGCATCTACAGAAAGTGACATTTCTTGTGCAATTTAGTTCATAAATAATAAATAAAACATGCAAAAAGTGCAAATGAATGTGACAAGTAATTTTATTAGTCATCTAACTATCACAATTACAATAATGTCAAATCTTGACAATTAATTATATGTAACTAACAACTAAAAAAATGCTTTAATTAACTTTTTTTTCTTTCTAATCCCTATTAATGATAGTTGATTGATTGAAGAATTTTCCAGAAAGCCAAGCAATTTATTGCATAACAAAAGGATTGTGTATGTGAATGAAATGCTTGATTAAGCTCGTTTAATTAATTCTTTTGACCGGGTTTGTTGTCGTGATACAGTTAAGGTGCTGCTTCTTATAATTGCGCTTTTGGTTTTTTTATTTATTTTGACTTTTGGTCACCAAAATTATTTCGATTTATTAAATTTTTAATAGAGATTTAAGCAGTTGGGATTTTTTTTTTCTTGTTATTCATCAACTCATTGTTAATTTGAATTTATAGAATAAATATATAAAACAATAGTTCATAGAAAAAAATTTTAAAAACAAAGAATAAAAAATTGAAAGCAACTCTTTGTTCTATCAAACTAAAAACAAAAAATATAAAATAATAACAAACGACACCTATGAAATCGATTTTGATGCCATAATATTCAGATGCTAATTTATTCCAATTAATTAAGCACTTGAAATATACTAATGAGTATATAATGTATATTTTTTTTATTTTTCTGGTATTTCTCGAATTTTTTGAAAGGAAATTATTTTCTTTTTTCATGTTATAATGTACGAAGGTTTTAAGCGGGTCTGATTTAATTAATAATTTTTTTTCTTCTTTAATTGACTTTGATTTTTTGGAATCTGTTTGCTGATTTTGCGAATCTCTTAATTTTAAGGTGAGCAATTTGCTTTTAAAGATTTATTTCTTTTTTATAGCATGAGTCATCTAATCCAAGCATCTTTAAAACATGATTCTCAAAAAAAAAAAAAAAAAAAAAAAAATTTTTCATGTTATAAATGTAACCGAAGGTTTATAAAGCGGGTCTGATTTCAATTAAATAAATTTTTTTCTTCTTTAATTTGACTATGTGATTTTTCTAGCGAAATCTGTTCCCTTGCTGATTTTGCGAATCTCTTAATTTTAAGCGTGAGACAAGTTTGCTTTTAAAGATTTATCTTCTTTTTTTATAGCATCGAGTCATCTATCACAAGCATCTTTAAAACCAATGCATTCTCAAAAAAAAAAAAAAAAAAAAACATAAAAATGATTACACACGTTTGAAATTAATTGGTTCAATCGCAACAAATCTTAATGAGGTAAGCCGACATAGCACTTTTAATACGTGTAATACCTACTACAGTTAGATGTGCGAACCTATAGGCTTTATTCATACTATCATTTATATTTATTTTTAAAAAAAAAAAAAAAAAAAAAAACATAAAATAGAATTACACACGTTTGAAATTATTGTTTCATCGCACAAATCTTAATAGGAAGCGACATAGCTTTTAATAGTGTATATAAGTTCGATTGCGATATAGGTTTTTTATTTTTTTATTTTTTTATTTTTTTTGAGTATTAAAAAAATATATTAGAATTACATATTGTCATATCATATATATTACCAATTATCACGAAGTTATGCCTTAATGTATAATTACCATATAGTTAACAAATTATCTAAATGAGATAGTGTGATATATATTTACCCGAAATTGTGATTTCGTTAATCTCTCTGTGTTACCCATTTGGAAAAAAAAAATGTTACAGTAGTTTCCCTTTTATTCTATTAATTAGAACTTAGTTTTTAAGTTGAATATTGAAGAGATGATTTCTAAATTTTCTAGAAAAAGAATAAAACTAAACTCTTAAACTTATTTGAAAGGAATTTTAATCTCATTGAATATGTAAAATAACATGAAATGAATAAAAAAAAAATTACACATGCAATGATGTAAAGTTTGTGATTTTATATAGGAAAAATAATTATTTCGTCCCTGAGGTTTGCTATCATTATTTAAGTAGTCACTGACTTTTATGCAAATATGTATAACGTTATTGAGATTTACTTCCGTCATTCTAATTAGTCCTTCTGTTAAAGAAAGAGATAAATGTATCTTAATTGAATACCAATTCCCAACAAATTTAGTTACATCCATAACTCGACAGAAAATAAAGTTAGCGAGTGAAAAACAAAATACTTTGTAGATAACTAAAAACAATTAAACCCAGAAAAAGGAAAAAAGAAAGAGGCAATTAAGAGGAAAAAGGGATTTTGAATCTTAGAGCACAAGCACAATTTTTAAAAGAATAGAAAATAAGGAAGAAGATAGAGTGGCTAATTTAGGATATGATCGAAAAAGAACATTTGAGATGCAGCTCCATGAGAAATTGAATTT